CAGGATGAATCTTGGGCTTCTAAGCTTTCAAATGATATATGATTTATGATGATTACTAAAAGATTTGACAGAGAAAAAAGACAACAAAAAAAAGAGTGCCAAACGTCCCACAGGTGGGACGGTGACAGTTAAGGGGTTTTAATCAAGGCGGATGTTCTGGTCTTTATCCAGGCCCTGAATGATCAATCATTAACAACCTAATTAGGACGTTGTTACGAGATTGGATGCTAAGTGGAAGTTTGATTTAGACAGAGCTCAATCACATCTGATAACTGCAGACTGTAGACAACAGAAGTTTATAAAAACACTAGCCTCTGGAAAATAGGTTTTGACAATCCCAATAAAGAATGTGTTTTAATGATGTTTGCTAAAACACCAAGTTTCAACACCAAGAATGATACCACAAATCATGCATTTGTTTAACAGGTGAGCTCTTACTTTTCTAAGCGACAATTTAGATGAATTTCACCTGGTGGAAGATAAAACAGGCCAAAAGTTTTCTTTGAAAGGAGACATCTAGTGACTGAAATTTCATAGACCGGCGTTGGGATCTTTTAACTTGGGCATCCAGAACTAGAACACATTTTCTCAAACAGTTTCTTAAAATAGTGTATAAATATAGTTGTGATTGGTTACACTATAGAAACTCTTTTCTTTTTGGCTGTTAATTCATATGTTTTTGAGGATGGGTTATGGTATGGGCAGGCGTATGTTATGGACAACGAACACAGGTGCATTTTATTGATGGCATTTTGAATGCACAGAGATACCGTGACGAAATTATCATTGACCCAGAAGCGCAGGCGCTCTGAACTAAGCGTCTAATTGGTGCTTCTCAATAAGGCAACACTTGATGCCATTCACATGATTGCTAGGGTGCAAAATGATTACGAATTCCTCTGTAGTCATAAAGCATCTGCATCATTCCTCAAAGTTAATTCAGGTTCCTCTGCACTAGGGAGATTTCCGCTGAGGTTTTCCTGGGCTCCTAAGTGCACAGATTTCTTTTGATTGCTCATACGAGCTGTTGTTTTGTGGACTTCCCTTATTAGTGGCTGATTTTCTCCTCTGCCGTCATGAGGAATCTCTCCACAACTGGAATCAAAGTTTTATTCTCAGATGTCTTTGTGAAATCGGATAGTTCTAAAAAACATTATTTCTTTGCAAACTTTGCAAAGTCTCAGGAGCTGTGAGTCATACAAGCTTTTATTACTGCCGTTTGCTAAGGCAAACATCGCTGTTACATATCTGCGCTTTGGGATTTAAACGCAAAGTATACAAATATTAGCTTGTGATTTGAACATGAATGATACCTAAAGTCAGTGAAAGAAAGTGACATTAGTTAGCTACAGAAAATCTGTAGCAGCGTTTGTTTTATGATGCAACTCGCTTTTGTGTCTTAATGTTTTGGAGCCACTGAATGTGCAACCTCCATTTGTTTCGTTGTCACATTATCCCATCCATATCTATATGTGTTGTACTCAGAGATCTGATTTCAGTCTGTACTGAAGGCTGATAATGAGAGAAGAACGGAGACAGATTGATCCACCCTGACCCTTCTGCATTCAGTTCCTTCACTCTAAATGATTTGGGCAGTTTTACTCCAGCCTATTCCCCATCTCTCACTTTATCACAGAATGAGCAGATGAGACTTAAAGTGGTTCAGATCGCTCTTGTTTGAGTGGAGTTAGTGATGACGGACAGTGATTTGTCTGTGTTCATCAGAGCATCTTCTTCTTTGTCTATTTTGGAATGGAAAGCGTCAGTGGGATGCACAGGACATTTGTGATTATTAAGGCACTATTTTCTTGCACCAGCCAAAACTGTATGACTTACAAGCATGTCTTGCAGCAGGTGTGCAGGTTTCTACTTTGTATGTTCACCGAAGTGCTGTGTGAAGAGACAAAATCACAGGCGATCAAAACATATTCTATATTTAATACACCGTTATGAGGAGCAGGATTTTGCAAGAATGATATTTTACTGGAGGCTAGTTAGAACAAAAACCCAGCTGGTAAATGATTAACAGATGGCATGATCACTTATCTCTCACTTCACGCTGTACATGATTAGGATACTACGATAAGCTTTTAATTATTGTTGTCTGTTCTTTTTTTTTTTATTGGTTTTGTTGTGGTTTGCTTTTTGTTCATGTTTTACTGTTTTTGCTTTCTATTTGAGATTTAGTTTAGCTTTTTGTTGCTTGTTTTGTTTTGCTTTTTGTTTTGCTTTTTGTTGCTTGTTTTGTTTTTGTTTTGCTTTTTGTTGCTTGTTTTGCTTTTTGTTGCTTCTTTTGTTTTGTGTTCTGCTTTTTGTTGCTTGTTTTGTTTTTGTTTAACTTTTTGTTGCTTGTCATTGGTTTTGTTTTGTGGTTTGCTTTTTGATGTCAGTGTTTTATTGGTTTTGTTTTTGGTTCGTGGATTGTTTTTTTTGTTTTTTTGTAGTGCTTGTTTTGTTATGGTTTTGGTTTGATTTTAGCAGTAAAATGCTCTTGAAGAATGGATTGCATTTACATTTACATTTACATTTAGTCATTTAGCAGACGCTCTCTCATTGTGAGATCAGCACCTCAGATCACTCTCTGTGCTGTCTTACATCGATCGCTCAGATGCTGCTGTGTTAGACACACTGTGTTTAGAGTATATGGCATTGATCGATGAAGAAACATGAAAAATGCGCACTCATACAATGTGAGATGTGTGCCTCTGTCCTGCGTGATATATATTGTGTCCTCAGTCCATAAAGTGGAGACCTTTTATATGTTTGTTGATAAAAGTAGATGTGGTTTAGAGATATGACCATCAATGCTGCTGTTTTCTTTTTTTATGGTGCCCTGCAATACATTGAATTAAACCTTGTTTTTGTTTTGTTTTATTTCAGAAAAAAAATACATTTACCAGGTGGTGCACTATTGCCACACACTATTGATATGGGCTTGTGCATTTAGGGTTTTTGTTTTGGCCTTGTGTATATTGTATTTTTGTCTTGTTTTTCAACTAATGGGTCTGTATGTATGTTTGTGTAGGGAAATGACGTAATGGAAGAGCAAGACCTGAGAGAAATTGGCATCACAGATCCGGCACATCGCAGGAAGATCCTCAGTGCTGCACGTTCTTTACCAAAGGTCTGTTTCAGTCTAAAATGCTTTGCCGATGATTGTCTCATGCTAATAATCACGTTATGTCATTAACAGTATTATTTTGTAAGCTTTTCATCATTATAATATTATCCGTTGTATGTCAGCCGGTAGTTTATCTGTACTGGGTCTGAAGTAAGGTTTTGAACTCTGCAGGTGAAAGCATTAGGCTGTGACGGCAGCACGTCCCTCGCTGCATGGCTGGACATCCTGGGTCTTCAGGAATACCTGCAGAACTTCCTGTCCAGCGGCTATCGCACGCTAGAATGCGTGAAGAACCTGTGGGAGCTGGAGGTTGTCAATGTGAGACCGTTCAAACGTTTACTGTAATCTGTATAGACTTTTGTTGTTGTTTATAAGTATTATATGAAGTATTTACATAGTTGGCTTTCCTTTTATTTTTAAAAATTCAGTTGCTTGGTTCTGAATTATTCAGTGGGGAACAGGGTATTTACGTTGCATAATATAAATTAAGAGTGTAATTTTTGCCTTTGTGTGTGTGTTATGTCTGTCTGTAGGTGCTGAAGATCTCATTGTTGGGCCACAGGAAGAGGATTATTGCATCGTTAGCTGAACGGCCGTATGAGGAGCCTCCGGTCAAACCTCCCCGCCTCTCTCAGATCAGAGTAAGTGCTGCTGTATACAGGAATGTTAACACATTGTAGAATAGTCTTTTGGCAAAGTGAACTTAAAGTAGACCATACGAGTAGGTGTAAACAAAAACTAGACTAGAATTACAGTTTGTTCAGTTTGCCATGTTTTAGGTCAGGCAGTACATTTGACAGCTTTTTGTTGCAAGTTCGGTCTCTTTATGAAAATATTATGAATATTTTGGCTTGACATATTGATTCATTTTAGTCCATTTTTCTGCAATGGCATATGTAATTTTAGTTGACTATAATTTGCAAAATGAAAAAGTCAAACTATTATATAATAATCTGTGAATGTGTGTTAATTTAAATATGTTTCAAAAATTCAGAAGTTGTGTTTGCTTATTTTATTCATTATTTTGCAGTGTTCTTTGTTATTTTCATATATATTTTTAAAATAGTCTTTCTTATCATTGACAAAAAAAATGTAAAGGAAAAAATAAAATACATTTGTCAGTAATTTCATTTAATAGATTAGAGGGTAGGTCACGTCTTATTTTCACAAACCATGCCTTCCAGAGTTTTAGTCCACTCGAAATGTGCAAGCTGTATTTTCTGTTTCCTCTGCTGAATCATCCAGGTCGAAAACAGTGTTACTTATTGAACAGACTGCATTTCAGTCTTTCACAGAAGGATACTGGATGAATCTCACAATGAAATTGCTCAAATCTCATTCCAAAATAATAATAATAATAATAATAATAATAAAACAATAAAATAAATGATATTTTGTATGAAGAAACTACAAGAAGTACATTTTAAGCTGAATTCTACTCATTTCCCCTTGAGTTTTCAAAAAAGCTGACTCTGTTGCTAAAGAAGCCCTTTCCACAGATATTCATACCACCCTCACATCTTAAAACTACCATAGAGTCTTACATCATCAACAAATGGCAAAATGAACGGGATTGATGTACAAACAACAGACCGTATGAAATTTACCCTACTGTGGGGAAAAGTTGCATATTTTCAATAATCGCTAAGGTGAGATACATCCACCGCTATGCTGTTCATGCCAGAGTCCAGGATCTCGCTAAACTAAACTAACTAATATTTTATTAAATTATGCCGGTTTAAGTTCTCTTAGGGAATTATATGACTCCGCAGATGCTTTCAAATAAGTTTTTATCTCTCAAAATTTCCCATCACTTCCCCTTATCTCTCGTACCATAATGTGAAATAAAATTTTATTAAATTCTCTTTGTCCACTAGAGATTTAGAGGAAGTTGTGTTTTCCTCCATTGAAACACCCAGGTCGAAAACAGTTTGCTTTATCGAACAGACTGCGCGCTTCTGTCCCTCACGGCCTCATTTTTATTCACAACAAATGAAATCTGGCATCAACCCTGATTCTAGTCTATAACAAAGTGCAGTTTACTGTGAACTCTCTCCTGGGCTCATTTCTGGGCAAGGACATCTTTCTGGCTGGCTGATCTCCCTCATTGAGCGCTTCTTTTGCAGTGTCAGGATCTCATGTCCCAGACCTCGTCTCCTCTCAGTCACTCAGACTCCTACACGTGCTCCATGGATCCCCTGTTACCTGCAGGCGATTGTGAGAGGAGGAGAGGTCCCGACTCAGAATATGACGTGGCCATTCGACAGCGGCCCAATGACAGACCACAACCACAAGTGAGTCACGATTCCTTCTGTTTCTGCTCAAATGATGCACATTTCGGTCAGTTTATCCTGAAATTGTTCTTCCTCTCTAAAGGAGAGATTTGAGGAACGTCAGCGGGAGCCTCGCTTGACCTTACGACCCCCGAGTCTGGCGGCGCCGTACACACCGGTCCAGAACTGGCACCATCAACCCGAGAAGCTCATCTTCGATTCATGCAGTTACGAGGCCAACGTAATAATATTTCTATCATACAACAGCCTCTTTATATAATAATAGAGTCATAATTCATATTGAGGTGACGGGTTATGAAATCATCCAAACCCTTGATTGTGTTTAGATAATGTGATTTAACTGTTTGCTTTTGCCAGCTGAGACCAACTGAAATCTGTCTCTCTCTCTCTGTCTTTATCGGTTTGTCCCGACTCGCTCGTTCTGCAGTATCTGGGCTCGATGCTCATTAAAGAACTAAGAGGAACGGAGTCAACGCAGGACGCCTGTGCTAAAATGAGGGTAGGTGTTCACAGAGTCTTCGGCCAGTGAGAGCTCAAGGTCTCCTGTGAGGAGTCACGCCAGGACGCTGAGATTATTATTATATTCTGGAACGGGCAGCAAGCAGCACTGTCAGGGAAAATGCGACCCATGCGTGTCCTCTACGGGGCACTAGTGCAAAAAAGGACCGTTTCATAATATTTGGCTAACAAGGTCCGTCCAGAAAGTGGAAAATGGACTTGCGCTTCATTGCACTGTGTGTGAGAGACAGCCTGCAGATTTGCACTTTAAAGGCTGTTCTGATAAATAATCAAGCAGATCTGTTTGCTCAGCCGGTCAGTGCAGAGATGTATTCAAATTGAGCCGTCTGTTCAGTCGCACTTAATGAAAAGACAGAAACAAAAACAGTCAGAGCCGACAAATGTTTTTAAGAAATCTGTCCCTTAAATATTAGCATTGGCCATTGGTGAATCTCACAATGAATCGGGTCACATCTCACCCCAAAATATTAATGCTAATAATAATAAAACAACATTTTAAGCCTTTAACCAATAAGGCTTTTAGCATTATGACATTTATTTTCATAAAAAATTAAGTACATTTCCCCTCAGCTCCTCATTACCGTAATGTAAAATACTAATTAATTATTTGTTTCAATTGATATTTAATTATAAATGGGGAATAATAATAACAATAATAAACTACAAAAAATGCATTCAATTTAGTACAACAAATACTGTCATGGTGCATGGTGTCTAATACTATATTTAAATAATATGTTTTTTTGGGGGGATACATTTTTTATTGATTTTACATATATAGGGTCACATACAATTGTCCAAAATCATCTTCACAATAAACAGAACAAACTGACCCTCTGAACCAAATCCCCAGCGGTCCAGGCCACATTACAATACATTGCAATCAAATCAAATTACATAAATAATATCACAATATAATAAATAAAATAAATACAAAACTAAATAAATACAGATACAGTCTGCAACATAACAAACTCAGGATAAGTAGAGTAGCACCTAGATCATCAGAGGTTTGAAAAAACAAATTATACCCCAAATTAAATTCTACCATCTTGAAGCATTTCTGTCAATCCATCTGCAACAGCTTTCCATGCCTCAAGGGTTGAGGCTCTAGCTTGGTTTATTCTGGCTGTTGAGAGTTCTAACATTACTATATCATGAAACTGAAGTAGCCATTGTCGCACAGATAAAGTATGGGGAGGGAGCCATCTTTGTGCAATTATCTTTTTGGCAGATGTTAGTCCTGCCAGCCAGATCTTTCTTTGTAGCTCTGTGAAACCTAACCTGGAATCATCATTTAGAAGAAGCACAACTGGTTGCACTGGTATATCTTTTCCTATCATATCAGACAGTATTGATGATATTTTTTCCCAAAACTCATACACCTTTTCACATTCCCACACCATATGCATGAATGTTCCCACTTGTTGGTAGGGACAAAAGCTAAAGTGGGGACTAGGAGATGATTTAATGAGGAAACGTTTCTTTCGTGTCCAGTTCAATCTGTGACAAAATTTGAAATGAATTAATTGGTGGTTTGGATTTTTTGATGCACAGAATATATTTTTCCATGCCGTCTCCCAATCAATCTGGTCCACATATAGCTCCCTTACCCAGATCATGTACAGTTGTAATTGCTTTTGCTTAACTTTAAGAAGGCAAGGATAGACAGCGGACACTACATTTTGTTGAGAAGGATTAGAGAGCCAACTGTGAACTGGATGTGCTTCTAGAGCTGACCCCCAAGGGACTCCATATGCTCTGAGGGCTGAACGTAATTGCAAGAACAAAAAAAAAAAGGATGATGCAGGTACATTAAAAGATGCAACTATATTTTGAAAGCTAAGCATGCCATTATCATCCCATATGTCAGAGGGTGGGGTGTAAAGAAACAGGTGTCCAAACAGGTGTCCATTTATGGTAGGAGGAGGGGGGTTTATGAGGGGCAATAAATCAAATTTTTTTGTCACATAGTAGCCTATACTCTCTCTTCCTTATCTTTTTTTGGAATTAAAGAGATTAGAGCTTTATTCATTTGTTTTTCAAAGTGTCCCTTTTGGATTGCTGTGTTTATTGCAGCATGCATAGTTGGTCCTAATATATCCCAAAAATGTAAGATTAATTCTGGGGGGGATCCCATCTGGCCCAGGTGCTTTCCCCTTCTTTGCCGTTTTTAACTCTGCATACAGCTCTTCAGGGTGTTATAGGTTGGCTCATTTGCTTAGATTCACTTTGTGTTAATTGTGGTAGATCAATGTCATGTAGAAATTTTTTAGCACTCAACCATATCTATACTATCCTTTGGCTGATATAGATCTTTAAAACGTTCTGCAAACGTGTTATTTATCTCTCTAGGATTGGTTATTAGGCCTTTTGTAGGTGAATAAATGGTACCAATAATAGCCCTAGCTTCACTTTGTCTTAGTTGTAACGCCAATAACTTGCTGGGTCTTTTTTCCATTATAATAATAATTCTGCCGAACTCTATGCATAATGAATTCAGCCTTTCTTCGAAGCAGATCGTTTAACCTAGACCTGGAACTCTTTAACGCACTTTCAACAGATCTTGAGAATTTCTTCTTCAGCTCTGTCTCTTGGGAAAGGCAACTTTATTCTAATTCCTCAATTTGTGCTTTTCTTTGTTTAAATGAGATGAAAAAGTGATAAAATCTCTAATAAAGCCTTTTGTAGCCATCCATACCATCATGTGGTTATCCACGCTATTAAGATTTATGTTCAAAAAGTCTTTCAGCTTATTTCTAAAATCTATTAAAAACCCAGAATCTAGTAGAAGAGTTGTATTAAATTGCCATCTTGGAGATCTATCATGTGAGCATTAAATAAACTTTTTCAGCAGTGGGTTGTGGTCAGATATTACAGCAGGAAGTATTGCAATGCTCTCAAAACACATCCTGAATTCACGAGAACATAGAATATAATCTATTCTAGAATGTGTCTGATGTCTCGAAGAAAAGAAAGTGTAATCTGGATTCTGAACACGCCATACATTTACGACATTAAAGGTTTGTATAAAAGACTTGCAAAAAGAATTTGCTGATGTTATCTCTTGTGATTTAGTAAATATAGTAGTGGATTTATCAAGCATCAAATCTCCAAGTATATTCATGTCTCCTCCAATAATGAGTGCATGCTCATTTAAGAGCAGCAACTTGCGTGTTAACCACTGAAAAAAGTTTACATCAAAAACTGCTGGGGCATAGACGGAGACAAAAGCTATTTTCTTTCCTTGAATATTTGTACAGAAATGGCTCAATCTACCAGATTTATCATTAATACATTTTTCAATAACAAGAGGAAGGTTTCGTTTAATGAGTATAAGAGACCCCTTTGTTTTTGTGCCATCACTGGATGCAGCAATGACTTTATAAAATTTGTTTTGTATACGAGCAACATCGGTTTTTAAATGAGATTCTTGGACTAAAGCCACATCTACGCAGCGTCTGCGTAAACTATCCAAAAACTTAGTTCTCTTCATAGGACTATTTAAACCTCTGATGTTGACAGATATAACTGAAATCGTAACCATTATCAAAGAGACTGTAAACTTGAACTATATTAAAGGTCAAATAATGATTTGTTTTAAACAGAAGTTATTTGATTGCACATTTCGTTACTAACATAAAAGAGAAAATACATGGCAGGACGACACTCCCCCCTCCCCACTCTCCCAGACCGCTGACTATTCCCCCACTTGTGTGTCGGAACCGTGACAGCATCATACGTTCCACTGATGTGAGACTCACCCATATATTAATAATGATGTATTAATTTAAATACTTTTAAGCCACCATGTGCCTCCTTTTGGATGTTTGCTGAGGCCCCCTTAATGGGCCCCTGTTTTACAGTAATGAAAATTTTGGGACAGAATATGTTATGGTGTTTGCCATACAATCAATCGATCAATGCATTTTTATTGAAATATTCTTGGTATTATATTAACCCCATATGTTGTGAAACACATTGACAAACGTCCTATAATATCCATCTCTCAAATCTCACCCATCCACCCATCCATCTCTCCACCCAGTCCATCTCATCCATCCATCTCTCAACCCAGTCCATCCCATCCATCTCTCAACCCAGTCCATCTCATCCATCCATCTCTCCACCCAGTCCATCTCATCCATCCATCTCTCCACCCAGTCCATCCCACCCATCTCTCCACCCAGTCCATCCCACCCATCCATCTCTCCACCCAGTCTATCTCATCCATCCACCTCTCCACCCAGTCCATCTCATCCACCCATCCATCTCTCCACCCAGTCCAGCCCACCCATCCATCTATCCACCCGTCCATCTCATCCATCCACCCATTCATCTCTCCAACCAGTCCATCCCATCCATCCACCCAGTCCATCCCACCCATCCATCTCTCCACCCAGTCCATCTCATCCATCCACCTCTCCACCCAGTCCATCTCATCCACCCATCAATCTCTCCACCCAGTCCAGCCCACCCATCCATCTCTCCACCCGTCTCTCCACCAGTCCATCTCATCCATCCACCCATTCATCTCTCCAACCAGTCCATCCCATCCATCCACCCAGTCCATCCCACCCATCCATCTCTCCACCCAATCCATTAGGGGTTGTGGAAAAAATCGATACAGCATAGTATTGCGATATTTTACGCGGCAATACTGAATCGATATACAGACGCCAAGTATCGATCTTTTATTATACTATTTGGTAGAATAACAAAATCTATTTCTTTACAGTCCACTAGATGGTGGTGTTGAGTTTTTTTTCTAAAATCATTTATTGCACGGCAAGTTGTTTTCTTTAAAGGGGTCATAGGATGCTATGCACTTTTACAAGTTGTTTGAACTGAAATGTGTGTTGGCTGTGTCTGTACACAATCACCCATCTACTAAAATCTTTACCCCTTTCTCAAATCGAGCCGATCTCAGATGCCTGTCTGTGTGACGTCACAAAAACAGGCCCCTCCCACGATAGTTTGATTGACAGTAGCGTTTCAGCACAGACTGGACTGGCGTCTTAACTTAGACCCGCCCCTGAGTGAGCTGTCATCAGTCCGCCATTGTTTCACCGCTGGAGATGTTACAGACTTTTCATTAAGACCCTAAAGAATCATATCAACTTGTGGAAAATGGGCATCCAATGACCCCTTTAAAGCTGTTTATGATGTTAGCAGCGTAATATTTAACCGGAAGGGTAAAAATAACGGTTATTTTCGTCAGTTACGGCTCGTTAGCTCTAGCTTTCTGTCCGCTTCAAATCAGATACAGAGATGAAATAGTGCGATAAGACCACATTTATTTGAATGAATTATAGCATTTATTTGAATGAATTATCGATCGAGAGAGAGATGACAGTTGTGTGTTTGAATTACCTGCATCTGTGCGTCTCTCTCTCTACAAACTATGAAGCTGTTTAGTTACTTCGATTTTACCTCGTTGCTGAGGAAGAAAATGAAGCGATCTAGTATCTGTTATTTTATTAATAAAAGTCGCGGGGCAGCACTGACAAGTTTCTGTGTGTGCAATCTGCAATCTCCGACCTCTCTCCCTCTGACTGTGTTTATGTGCGAGTGGTGTGTGTGAGTGGTGTGTGTGTGCATTAAAGCAGCACATTAATATAGAACGGTGATTAAACTGGCTTGGAACTAAGAGCACAGCAGTGCATAAGTATACCTGTTGTAGCACATTGTTTACTTTAAGAGTACATATTATGTTTAATTTAAATGTAACATTTAATTTAAATGTAACATTTTTATTTTAATGCAAGACTGTTTTATTTATTTTAAATTTAACAGTAATTTACTTTCAAATGCCCCAATTGCTGTTCAAGTACAAGTTCAAGTTGCATTGTTCAAAATACATGTAGTAGCACAGCAGTGCATACCTGTTTACATTTAATTAAGGTTGACTAGACTAGACTGTAATACAAATAGTTGAGTTTGTCAGGTGCATACAACATTTATGACAGGTTTTCATGAAAGTGTTGGGTCAGTTTGTCTGCTTGACAATCCCATTTTGCACTGCAACAATACAATTGAAGTGAGATAAACAAACTGAGAAATGTTTCTTTTTAGTTAAAACAGATGTTGCCAAAGTTTTTGTTTGGGGACATAATTTGAAGTTGGAAAAAGGTAATAAATTGCAATATATCGCAGACTATCGCAATATATTTAAAATTGTAATAATATTGTATTGTGACACAAGTATCGTGATAATATCGTATCGTGGGGCCTCTGGTGATTCCCACCCCTACATTCCATCCCACCCATCCATCTCTCCCATCCATCTTTCCACCCAGTCCATCCCATCCATCCACCCATCCATCTCTCCACCCAGTCCATCCCATCCATCTCTCCACCCAATCCATCCCATCCATCCCACCCATCCATCTCTCCACCCAGTCCATCCCATCCATCCATCCACCCACCCATCCATCTCTCCACCCAATCCATCCCACCCATCCATCTCTCCACCCAGTCCATCCAATCCATCCCACCCATCCATCTCTCCACCCAATCCATCCCACCCATCCATCTCTCCACCCAGTCCATCCCACCCTTCTTACCCATCCATCTCTCCACCCAATCCATCCCACCCTTCTACCTATCCATCTCTCCACCCAATCCATCCTATGCCATCCCTCCATCCCAGCCTCCCAATCCAACCCATCCCATCCCATATATCCACCCCATGCTATCCTATTCCATCCCTCCATCCCAACCTTCCAATCCATCCAATCCAACCCATCCATCCATCAAGACATGCCATCCCATCCCATCTACCCAATATATTCTATCGGTCCATCCATCCATCCATCCATCCCATCTATCGCTCCATCCCATCACTCCACCCAATCTATCCCATCCATCTAATTGTATTTATCAGTATCAACGGATATTGATTGTTTTAACTATTCCTGTGAGAACTGTAGTAGTAGTAAGGCGTTTGTTTAAGTTTGTTTTTTTGCTGAAGTTCTTGGATCTGTTGGCTAATGTCACTTTGGTTTGTGTGTTCAGAACATCATTGCAGAACATGAGATCAGGAACATCTCGTGTGCGGCTCAGGACCCAGCGGACCTCTGCACGTTTGCTTACGTCACTAAAGATCTGCAGAGCAGCCATCATTACTGCCACGTGTTCAGCACCATAGATGTGGTGAGACAAACACCACCATCATTAACATACACTGTTTAAGAGATGAGCACTTTCTACATTAGTAGTTCTCAGCTGCTTTGCTTCAGTTCTACATGCTGATTTACAGTGTTTCAAAAAACGTCACTTTTTTTTTTCTTTTTGCAGAAGTAAAATGAATTGAAACCCCCCAAATTTGCATTTCACATAATTTTTTTCCCTGCTGTCTGTGATAATCAGTACAGACCTGTTTAATGACCAGCAGTTGAGAACTACTGCTCTGAAATACTAATTTTTCTGGGCATTAAGAGTCTCTCTCTCTCTCTCTCTCTCTCTCTCTCTCTCTCTCTGTGGTGTGCAGAGCGCCATGGGCCGATTTCCAGGCTTCTGATAGTATCACAAAGAGTTTTATAGGAGAGGTTGTGAGCAGCAGCCCATTAAAATGACATTGATCATACAGCTGCCTAAATGATACAGACACACACTAGACCTATCATTGCCTTGAATACTTACAGCCAGACTCTAATAGAGCTGCAGCTAGCAGTTCATGTGATAGTTCACAAATCAAGTGATTATTAGAACTGATAATTGACTAATCAGGTCGTTACTGCAACAATTAATAAACAGCTTTTTCTTTGAGTTAAGAGGTTGAATAGACAGTGAATCTATCTTTTGAAAATACATTTGAATTACTTTTTAATATAGAAAGTTCAGTTCAGTTTTGATCAAAATTGACATTAAAGACATTTATAATGTTTGCATGCATCTTGACTACATTGAGAAATCCTGGTTCCAGAGTTTGTGTTTATTTACACAGCCTGCTGCTTTATTAATTTAGATTTAATAAATAATTAATTGCATATGAAAGCAAAGAGAGGGCCGGGCATTCCTTTTTAGATGCTCTAAAATTTGAGTTTTGCTTCCGTTCCGTGTTTGTCAAATGATGTTAATTGTAGACCACGTTAGATATGCAATTCTGTGTCTTCAAAAGCTTGTTGTAAAGAAAAAAGAAACACAGGCTGAAGTTACAAGCCCTGATTTTTTATTTTATTTTTTTTGTGGAGGATCTGAGAGTTTATGTTCAATATTACAGTGTTTGTTTTTGACCTAGATGAGAAAAGAAGAAAAAAATCCAAGTGTTTTCATATCTTTCATTACACATTACAGTATCTACAGCTGTCCTGGTGTAACTTTTCAGAGACTCACTGATGTCTAATTATATAAAAAGCTGCTCTTCATTATATTCACTAAATGACATAGCTAAGCTTGTTATTACATACTTTTATGAGTTCAAATGCCTCTTAAGTGCAGAATAATGTTGGAGGCCTCTACAAATGTATTGATGTATGATGCTGTTGATGAGGCTATTAAAGAAACTTCTGAAGATGGATTGAGGTTATTTGAACTCTTTGATCATTTCTTAATAGTGGTTTAAGCACCTCATCATGATGGTTAATCACCGTGTCTCCACCTCCCCGACAGAACCTGACCTATGAGATCATGCTGACGCTGGGACAGGCGTTTGAAGTGGCCTATCAGCTGGCACTGCAGGCCCAGAGGACCAGACAGCAGCAGAGCGCAGCGGGAGCGGCGGAAATCATCGAGACCAAGAGCAGCAGACCTGTCCCCAAACCACGAGGGAGTATGCGCAAGTCAGGGGTGAGAGCACACACACACACACACACACACTTTTGTAACATGGAATCTACAAAGATATTCCAGAGTTTTGTTTGAGACACTTTGTAAGTTCACTACAGTTTGGTGTCAGTAAGTTTGTTTTAATGTTTTTAAGATGAGTCTTTTTGCTCACCAATGCTGTGTTTATTTAATCAAAAACCTAGTAATAAAAATCATAATATTGTGAAATATTATTACAGTTTAAAATAACTGTTTTCTATGTGACTATATGTTAACAATGTAATTTATTGCTGTGATCAAAGCTGAATTTTCAGCATCATTACTCCAGTCTTCAGTGTCACATGATCCTCCAGAAATCATTCTAATATGCTGATTTTGCTGCTCAAGAAACATTTCTGATTATTATCAATGTTGAAAACAGTTGTGCCTTTTAATGTTTTTGTTGAAAACTGAAAAAAAAAAAAAAAATCATGAATCTTTGATGAATAGAAAGTTCAACAGCTTTTATTTGTAATAGAAATGTTTTCTAACATTATAAATGTCTTTATTTCAATGTTTGATCAAATTAATGCATCATTGCTTATTAAAAGTATTCTTTTCTTTCAAAGAAAGATATAATAAAGATATAAATGTGTGGTTAGTTGTTTTAAATGTCAGTGGTTAGCCTGAATATGCTGTCATGAACATATACATATGCAAACGGGAAAAACTAGCCTAATTATAATGCTAATATAATCTGTTCTGTATTTGAAAGTTAGCTTTTCTCTACCAAATTGAATCAGAAAAACTCACTGCTGAGTCCTAAAGCTAAATGATCCTCCCTAATTCATCTGTCTGTCTGCATTTGTATTCCAGTCACTGCTCTGTTTAGCCGTTCCTTTGGTTTCATCCTCTCAATTCAGCTTCACCTTGCTGTATTCTTGTTCTCATTCTTTACACTTTCCACTGCTCTATTTCCGTTTTTCCTTCATCCAGCTCGTCCTTTATTCACCTTGTTACTTCAATAGCTCAAATTCCCATGGTTCCTTTCTTTCTGTGACAGATCCATATCTAGTCCACTTTTGTTTTAGTGTGACAGATCTTTCTGACCAGCGCTATGACAAATACAGTACTGTAGAGCCCCCTGCTGGTTCTTTGAGGAATTACACATTGAAATGTGGCTATACATATACTCCGTTGGGGTGCCTCCAGGACCAGGGTTGGGAACCACTGCTCTATATACAGGGGTGGCCAACATAGAGAGCCACAGTCCTGTCCAGAGTTTTGCTCCAACCTTGATTAAAACTGCCCTGCCTGTAGCTTTCTAGTAACCGTTAGACCTTGATTAGCTGGTTCAGGTGTGTTTGATTAGGGTTGGAGCTGAACTCTGCAGGACTGTGGCTCTCCGGGACAGACGTTGGCCACTCCTGCTGTATACAGTATACTAGTGTTCAAAAGTTTTGGGTCAGTAAGATTTTTATTTATTTTTTTTTTTGAAAGAAAATAATGCTTATAAGAAACAAGGATGCATTAGTTTGATCAAATATTAAAATAAAGACATTTGTAATGTTAGAAAACATTTCTATTACAAATAAAAGCTGTTCTTTTGAACTCCCTATTCATCAAAGATTCATGAAAAACATTTTCAGTTTTCCACAAAAACATTAAAAGGCAGAACTGTTTTCAACATTGATAATTATAAATGTTTCTTGAGCAACAAATCAGCATATTAGAATGAAAAAAACAACAACGTGAAAATAAAGACATTTATAATGTTACAAAACATTTTAATTTCAAACACTTAGTGTTCTTTTGAACTTTCTATTCATTAAAGAATCCTGAAAAATATTTTCAGTTGTCCACAAAAAAAATATGAAGCAGCACACCTGTTTTCAACACTGATAATAATCAGAAATGTTTCTTGTCTGAAGGATCATGTGACACTGAAGACTGGAGTAATGGCTGATGAAAATTCAGCTTTGTCATCAGAGGCATAAATTACATTTTAAAATATATTAAAATAGAAAACAGTTCATTTTAATTGTAATAATATTTCACAATATTTCTGTTTTACTGTATTTTTATCAAATAAATGCAGCCTTACTGAGCATAAGAGACTTCTTAATAAATAAATAAATCGTACCAATTGAACGGTGATGTATATAGGGGCATTTTCAAGTCACTAAATGTTCTTCCTTTGAATCATTTTTAAAAGAATATACTGGGTTCCATACACTCGTCAATTCAGTAACCTAAAGCTGAAACCTGACCCAAAGCTCTCGTAATCAGATCTCTAGTGAGAGGAACGAGTGTAATCGCGGTATTGATGTCTCTCACAGGGTATTTACATCTCTTCCTCCCTGCTGTTTTAGGTGGAAGCGATGGATGTGGACGCTCACGCTCAGAGCAGTGCCACCTGGATCCTGGACTCCAAAGATCCCAAGCGCACCGTCAGCACCAAGTACGAGACCACCATATTCTGACCGGACGCTCCTCTCCTCCACGTCCCGTCCCCTCACACCTTTTCCTTTCGCTCTGTGCCTTCACTCTCTAGATAGACTCTGACCTCCCCTCGCCGACGTGACCGAACTCCTTCCCCCTCGCTCTCCTCCACACAGAAGCCTCCTCTCCATTCACCTCTTTCTTCTCCATCTGTCTCGCACAGCTCTGGCTGTCCAGCAAGCCTTTCCCGAGGCCTTTACTCGGCTGAAACAAACACTCTGTCCTGATGTAGCTCTGTAAGTTCGTTCAGGTATGCCGCCCAGTTTAGGAGTCTCTCACCTGTAGTCGTATCATAACTGGCCTGAAACCAAAGTAAAGCTCTGCTGAGGACCAGAACATGCTGTCATTTAACCTTCCTGTTTCAGACGTGAAGAAACTAACATTTCCTACTCCATTCTGCTCAAAGGACTCTCCCTCCATTTTCACTCTGACAGTTTTTCCTCTTAACTAGTTTTTTTTCTTTTCCCCTTCTGTGGTGCTCATCTCTGCCAGGCGTCGACCGCAGTGAGATGCTGATGAAGACTTCCTCTTCTTCCTCTTCAGTCTGAGCTAAAACACCTGGACTCCACTAAACATGTAGCATCAGATCGAAACAGTCGCCAAGGATTACGATAAAAGGCACTTTCCATGAATACAGTACATTTTGGCATCCCGTATTTTTTATTTTTTTACGCAAAAAGGCACAAATTACACATTTAGAACTAGAAGTAATAAATAAATATGTGAGAAGAACCGTTGTCAAATGTAAAAATAAAGAGGTATTGACCTTCACGACTATATCCAACAATTAAAAGAGTACAGCAGTGTTTTAATTCACCTGAAACATAAATGACCAAATTAATAATTTATTGACTTTAATTACCAAAAACATTTACATTACATTAAAAAATCATAAACTACAGCATGACAGGGAAGAATTAAATAATCTTATTCCATTTTTTTAGGGGGGGAGGGTTTCACACAAATTAGTATTGGCTATATTTGTCAACTACTCGACCCAAAGTTATTGTAAGAAAAAAAACACAATGCAGCAAATCAATTTCTATCATAGCTAAAATCAACTAGCTAGCAACAGCAACAGCTTATTTTAGGCTGATTCCGTATTTTATTTTATTTTATTTTATTGTGTTTTTGTTACATTTTTTAGTGAATGTAAGCAATGTTTATTGAATCTATTTATTTTGTTTATGTTGTTTTGTGTTTGGTTTTGTTGTTTTATTTTTATTTGTTATTATTTTATTTTTATCGTTTTAATTATATTTTAATAAATGTAATTTATTTCTTTAAAAAAACACATAAATCAGGTTTTTAAACTGTATTTAAACAGGAATTCATATAAAAGTAATATTTTTTATAATCATAATAATTGCACAGTATTTAGTGTTTGGTTGATGGACAAAGTTTTCTGAAGGTTAAGCACCTCTTTTCACTTTGATATGAAGAGACAAAATGACTTCACAGGTTTTAAGCCCCATTTTGTACCTTTTTTGTGGAAAGTGCCAGTAGATTATCAGATGTCCAGCTTTGTTTGCATTTGTTGGGCTTCTTTTATCTTGCATACTGGCATCTAAACCTTTTATTATGGGCTGTCACTAGATGGATTTTAATTAGTCCTGTTATGTTACTATGCACATCTAATAGATGATATATATTCTGTCCATCCCTCACATACAGATGGGACATTAGACAGCTGGCAGAAGCTTGCTAGAGTGCATTAGAAGTGAATTGAATTGGAACTGAAGTACCTCACTGTAAATTTAATTTGCGTTTAGCACTGTGATTTGATGTGTTGTCTTAAGTCTGAGTTGGCAAACTAGGTTGGGCCTAAATGTCATATTAGGCTATTATATAGTATTATAATAGCATTATATAGTGGTTTAACGCATTATATTGTGTTTTGTTTGTTTTTTGCGTCACAAATCGTACTATTTTTCGGATAAGCAAGAAAAAAATATTTAAAGCACAGAGAATGACAATGCCGTGAAGGGTTTTTAACATAGGCAAATTTTATGTGTATGTATACGCAGCTCGGTATTTCCGTGCAGTCTGAAACACGTCTCTTGTGCACGCTTTGATTGTGTGCGAGAACAGCGTGCGAGTAACGAATTGAGCTCTCTTTCGTTTCTTCTTCTTGTGGTTTAAAATTGCGTGTACGAGTAAATTGGCAAATTAATCTGCGAATCACATGCGTGCCGAACGGTAGGGTCTCATCCATATGTATTACGGATCAACTGCGATCCGTTTAAATGTGACAAATCAGAGCAATGTTTCATTTACTTATTTAACATGAAATTGTCAAATTGCTACTCCATATCAATCGCATACAAAGAAAATACAGAATAATTAGAACAATCATTATAACATAAATAAATAACAGAGTGTCATATCTATACACATTTTTCCCAAAACGTTCTTGCGACCCGGTAGCAATTCTTCCACGGCCCGGTAGTGGGTCACGACCCGGTGGTTGGGGACCTCTGGAATTGGTTAGCATGCTAACCACAAGCTAACTGAAAACAAAGAGAACTAAAGTCTAAATCACATGATATGTCATGTATAATTTAATCTGCTGTATTTCTGAGTGAAATGGAGATTCAATGAGAATACTGTTGAATATCCAGTCGGGTAGGACTTGCATACAACAGTCAGATTTCTAATCAGGCAGCTGAGAATATCAAGAAGTTTTTATTTGCCATTGGAGTCTTTATGGTCCAAAGGGGAGAAGATTTCAGGACAAAAAAAAAAGATTGGCATGACAGCAGCTTTCTTCTCTTCACCTTCATTTTTGAACTTTTGACATATCTGTTGTAAATGGCATCAGCATGTTAACTAGATCCCACATTTTATTCGTTTTGATTTGTTTTAATCCCTGTGCGTGTATGTCTCCCTGTAGCTGACCGCTGTGTCGGATGCCAAACAGAAAGGAAAGTTGGGATGCCAGTGACAGCATGACTGTGGATGAGACATCACTTGTAGTGTGTGTGTGTGTGTGTGTGTGTGTTTATATAGATCTATGTAAGTGTCAGAAGTCTCCTCACACCTGCAGTGAGCTCCTCCCATTCATCACTAGGTTTTCACCTTAAACACACGAGCCAAAAACAAACAGAAAGAGTCCTGTCCACTTTAACACTTAACAAAACCTCTCCCTCTGAAAAACATCTTGCTTTTATCAGATTTCAGAAGTTTTCAGACACTGGAAACTCACAGCAGTCACTGTATTCTCAGTGCTGACGTTGTCTTTACTTTGATGTCTTTGAGTTTTGTTTTATTTTCCTTGTGAAGCGACAGTCGACATGCTTCTGTTTTGTCTGTGATTTTGTTATCTAAACTTATGGTCTTTCATCTCACAAAGTGAAGATGTTTTTATTTTGTCTGATAACCAGAAAGTTAGAAACACTGATTCCAGTTCAGCAAAACACTGATTAGAGAGTGCAGTCTTGTCTTTTGATGTCCAGTTAAGATCAGTCCCATCTGTAAGTTGAGATCTTTGATTCTTACTGTCAGTATTTTAAGTCAGGTGGCCAACAGGCTTTAGTACAAGTGTTTGTACAATGTGGGCAAGACCATTAAAACATAAGAATTTTGAACTATGGTATGAGTTTCAGTAGGAAAGGTTTGGCCTTTGAATGTCACGGACAGAAACTCAATGCCAGATTAGTGGGAGATACGGTTGATAATGTTGTGACGTCTTATGGTACACTATTATGATAAGTTAATAACTTTATGATGGCATGAGAATGGTACAGTCCAGATCCTGGTACTTGTAGTGACTCTTACACGTATACTGTGATTTCTAATACAAAAAAGCAATGGCGTTAATGTGACACTACAAACAACTGCGAGTTGTTTTTATGTGTAGAGTGTTGTGTCTTTCCTTTAATGATTAAGTTGCAGAAAGCAGGGTATGTCTAAAAATAAAAATGAAACGGATGAAAAGGTTTAAAAATTGAAATTTGCATAGTCATCTGTCATGGACGAACCTGCACTTGTGTTTTGTGTAGATAATAATGCAGAAACATGAGGTGTAGATGGGAAATATTCCTGTATGCATTTAGCCCTAGTTTACAAGGATTTTAGGTCTGGTGCTTTTTATTTAGATTTTTTTTTTGCTTAATTTTTTTAACATGGTACGTTAAAAATGGGTATAGTGCTAAATACAAGCAGATGCTAATGCTAGCACCTGTAACAGCCGCAGTGTTTGCACAACTAATCACGTTAGCGAATACAATGGTGACATATTCTTGGTTAAATGATTAAAATATAAACAATATCGAATTGTAAAATAATCCTGGGTGGTCTGTCTTTTGATACTTGAATGATTCTGCTTTTATAGATAATTCTCTCTAGGTATGTATATGTATGTACTGTATGTATTTTTTTTTCTTGATGTTTTTTGTCATATGTAGAGAGGAACATCTTTTTAAAGCTCAACATATCATGATGCAAGTGAGCATGAGACTGACAATGGAATCTCTGAGAGACCTTGCCATAGAATCAAAGAGAACGATTGTAAATAATCTTGGGCTTCCAGTCTTTTTTATGATTATTATTTTTCATAATTGTACATCCAATAAATTAAGAGATGGTATCCAGTGTCCTGTCATTTTTTTCTTACCAAAAACTTTGTGGCGAAAGAAGAATATTACATATAAATGTAAATTTTTATTTGAGTTACAAAACCTCAGCTCATTTTATCTAACATAAACAACGCCATTGTGTAGTGTTTTGATTACATTTTAAGTGATTTGTTTCTGTATTGAAGTGTTTGAAGCTTTTTTGCAAATAATGGGTGAAACTCAATGATATTGAAATTGCAAAAGTTTTATTCAAAAACATTTAGGAGCAGAAATTCATTCATTTTAGACCAGCAAGATGTTAAAAGAACATTTGGACACAATATATCGTTGTCCTGTTGACCAGTATTACAGAAGAGACGGCAAAAACTTCACTTGACAGTTCACACAACATAGTTTAAAAATTTCCCAGACACCAACATGCAAACTTTTTACAATATCAAAGAATAAGTTTGAAATATGATTTTGCAAGCTGACAACAAAATAATTTTTAAGAGTGATAACATCTAATTTGTTCCTTGAGTGTTGACAAATGTACCACAAAAAATATACAATCAAATCATTTTTCTTTGGACAATGTCAGTGTTTGACAATTGACATTACCTTTTGTTGTGCCTATATTTGTGTGCTGAAAATTTCCTGCTTTTTGTACTTTCGCTGTCAATGTGCTTTTTGGTTCTTTTGTTCAATGGATTCATATGCTTCTAAAATTGTGAAATCAACTCAGTAAGTCAACTGTTAAGTAATGGCTCATTCTTTTCTTGTTCTTTTACATTTACCAGTGAAGAAAACCACAAATATTGAGCCAAAACAACAGCAGCAATTTCTTAACCAATCACCAGGTTAACTTTGTAATTTCCTCAAAAAACACGAGATCTAGGGCCAGTTGCATAAAAACTGCTTAAAAACTTTACTGACCAACTAGTAGTCTTAAAAAGAGAGTAGACTACTAGTCTAAACAGTTTAAGCAACAGGCCCTTGAACTTTTTCTCTTATCATGAAATGTTCTCAGATTGAAGTGTTTATGAAAGAAAATGTTTACATCTGGTTTGAAAATGCTCAGGACCACCACTGCATTGTAACCGTCTGAGAATGACTTCCAGGGTTCATGTTAATTATGAAAAATTTACATTCATTTGCAATTAGCCTTTCTGTCTTGTACATTTATATTCATCGTTTCTTGACTACTAGGCATTTTTGTCAGACAACCGCAAATAATTGGTAAACTTTGTAATCCAAATATCTTTTTCCTTGTGAAAAGGTTTCATTTCACACCAATTATTAAACAGTGGTCACGGATAGCAAAGGGTTGTACACTTTCTTCCCATCTACAGAGCGGGTCCCATGTGCCAGAAGCTCCTGAATGGTGATCCAGTTATCTAGGATGCGTCGACTGCGTTTCTTCATACTCTTTTTCTGGCTCAGCTCAAGTATGGAAGCCTGTCCTTGAGATCCGGAGTCTTGTTCCTTCTCTTTCTCCCGCAAGAAGTCCAGTCGGCTCTGCATCATGAACTCACGGCGCCGCCGTTGCTCGCGAGCTCTCAACAGCTGCTGCTTACGTTCCTCCTTGCTCCAATAGCGTCCCATCTTCATTTCACTGACCGCATCATCGTCCGTGGTCATCCCACTGCGCTCCTCTCGAATCTTCATGGCACGAGCCTTTAGCAAACGATCTCTTACCGGACGTTTAGCGACATAACGTGAGCCATCGCTGCGGATCTTTACCTTCCACTCCATTCGAGGTGAAGATGGAGGCAGTGGAGGAGGTATAATCAAAGAAGTTGCTGGAGCAGCTGTGGAGTCTCTGTTTGCACTAGTTAAGGTATTGGAGTGAGAAGGAACCTCTTCATTGGCGTCCCTAACTTCTGGACTGTCATTTGTTGACATGTCCCTCAACTGCATGCAACTCTGGTAGCGTTGAGGCAGTGTGGTACTGCAGCAGCGACGGGACAAGTATGGACTGTTTTCTGCACTCCTTCCTCCTTTCACGATCCCGGTAGTGAGAGTCCCATTTGCATGGGTCCCCCTTCGTGCTCCATCCAAGCCCTTTCTACTACTCCCGCCATTCCGGGATAACGACTGAAGCCTTGTTGGAGTAGAGTTTTTGTTGTCCCCTGTTTCTTCACTCTTTTTCTTGGCATCCAAAGAAGGTGGTACATTAAGATTCTTATCCCTACTTGTGCTTGTTCTGTGACGGGGCGTCCGAGGTCGCATGGATGCAGAGGCACTGGAATCTCCAGCCACAGACAGTGAAGGGTATCGTTCACTTGCCAAAGGCGTGCTTCTGCAACTTTCCCCACCTGTATTATAAGCGCTTGTACTCTCCTTATCAGAGCGTTCCCTTTCTGGGATCTCGTTGATATCCGACAGATCATGGTGGATTGCCTCTGTACCTCCACACCTTGCCTTTGCTCCTTTTTCTTCATCGTCCTCTTCATCAGCTGGCCAGACCTTTAGGCAGCGTTGTCGCAACTGCTGCATCTTTTGAGCCCGCAAAACATTGCGCCACTTAAACTCCAGGTGACGTATTTCCTCATCTAGAAGGGCAATCTCGTGCTGCATCAGGCTCTCGTTACAATTCATGTCTACAGGAACACCTGCTCCTGCAAAATCCCCAACTCCTCCACCATGGTTCTTTCCATCCAAAAGAAAAAGTGCATTTCCGTTCTTCTCGTAAAGGCACCGGATCTCCAGTAGCTCTCGGTAACGTTCATATTCCTCTTCAGTTAACCCTGGCAGTAGCGTTCTGCTCGTCACTGTGCCCAGTGATTCAGGAGCCCCATGATCCGCTGCTCCCACCCCATCTGGCCCCAGCAGTGAGTCGTTGCTGTAGTGGATGTATTCCCATCCGTGCTGAGCAGCGTGGAACTTGCGCAAACTGCCGGGTGTATTGGTGGCATTGGTCGTGCATGCGCTGGTGGCATCATCGGCCAGCTCTGACGACTCTTCACAGCGTGTACTTTCATCTGTACGACCTACCCCGCTGTCCAGCTCCTGGCTGTTATTGAGTGCAGTGTGCCACAAGTTGGGCCGACCAGCTCGGATCCCATTGATGTCGCTCAGCAAAGAGCTAGTTTTCCTTCGGTGCTGAGGGCTGGGTGAGTTAGAGACATTTTCCAAGTCCTCTAGATCCAGGCCCACGCCCAATTCCAAATCCAGATCATCAGCCTCATTCTGCCAACAATGAAGGTTTGGAAAGTTACAAAATAGGAAAAGGAAAATAAATTAGAAAACATATAAAAATCATGCTAGGAATTGTGTGCAAAGATGTGTATAGAAAAAACAACAACATACTGATTAGTCTAAAGCAGTGGTTCCCAACCACGTTCCTGGAGCCCCAACACTGCACATTTTGCATGACTCCATTGTCTCACACACCCATTTCAGGACTTAAGGCCCATTCACACCAAGAACGATAACTATATTAGCATCCACACCAGCGGACGATATCGTCGGTTTATTCTAAACGCACACTCGTCTATCGCTTTAAATTCTCATGCTCATTATAGCAGGATTGATTCTGATTGGCTGTCAATGTTTTTATCGTTCATCAGCTGGGAAAAAATCGTTCTGAAAGTCATTCCAACGTTTCTCTGTGCCTTTATCGTTATAGCTGTGGTATGGACTCTGCTATTCTTTAACATTGAGAAGGATTTTTAGAGCTATATCTTTATCGTTATCTTTATAGTTATCATCCTTGGTGTGAACAGGCCTGCAAAGTTTAGCTCCAACCCAAATTAAATGCACCTGAACCAGCGATCAAGCTCGTCAGGATTACTAGAAATTTCCAGGCAGGTGTTTTGGAGCTGGTTGGAGCTACACTCTGCAGGCCAATGGCCCTCCAGTACCGGAGTCTGACACATTAGTCTAAAGCAGCAAACACGTTAAAATGTCCCTGTTTGAGCAGCAGAGGGCAGTGTTTGTCTAAATAAGCACAAGTCTGGATACTGTAAATGATTGCATGGTCTTTTCCCATCTGTTGTAGGAGACATTTAAACGTGAGAGGTTTCTCAAATGAGCCACCTGTGCTGGGAATATACTGGCCCAAATGCTCACACACCATCTGGAGCGTCCATAAAACACAACACACACACTTGTGCTACTGACCCCAAATCCTAAAAACTGTAGAATCTCTGACTGTTTCCCAAATGGCCATTCACTGTTCATTCGTTCTTATTCTCATCTCTGGCTTTAATCATTTTCCACTAAATGTTTTTTTTTTTTATTGTTTTTTTTTTTTTAATCACAATTAGATTTTTACTTTATGCCAAATTCATGAATACATCTGACAGTATTCTAGACATTGAATACAATTAACAATGTAAGAATAATAGTAGTCCAAGGCACTCGAATCTTATTCAAAAAGTTTTAAAAAGCCTTTTATTTAATCATGGCTATAAGTTTTAAGAACAGGTGACAAGTGCACACTTATGCGTTGCGGCTATTTTGCCTCCGTCAGGGTGTGAGTAACAAACACAATCTGAGTTCATTTTGAGCAGCAATTAATTAGTCAAATAACAATCACCTGGTCGTTCTACATAGGACAAACAGTAGAGAGGAAGTTCGACGATTACATATCAAATTAAATCAAACACAATGTAATCATGTATAAAGGAGAGGGGAAAAAAATAATAAAAATAAAAAATAAACTTAAATCTATAAATCAGACTCCACAAATCAATGTATGTATGTACATAGTATAAATTTCTTAAAAAACAACAAAAACCACACAAGATCAACAATATAATACTTCCAGATCTGAATTCTTATTACAAAAAAGGTACAAGGTCTAATTCCCCATTTAAGCCTGGACGTTTAGTTGCTTTCAGTATATAGATCCAAAAAGACTCTCTGTAAAAGCCTATTGACCCTATCACCTCCTCTTATTGACCTGCGGACATGTTCTATTCCGATTATCTTCAATGTACTTGGGCTACCATGACAATTAACAATGTATTTTTATTTAGAACTGGACCCAAATGGGTCTTATTCAGACCAATTGTGTATGTGAAGCCTTTTCTTCAACATAACCTATAGACTTGTACATTTTAATAAAGATAAATATCTGTCTTTTTGGGTTCCAGATCAGCATCTTTCTATACTTAATTTATCAAGATTATTATATGCAAATAAGATGTATTTTTCGAGATCTTGATTACTTTGTTTTCCTTGCACAGCTTTGTGTCAAATAGCATCATGCTAAATGAACTTCATAAACATGCCTCAGACTTCAAATGTTGACTTGGTCTATTTGTATTCATGAACTGGGTCATTCCTCAGGGGTTTGCATTATGTTTTATTTAAATATTTACCAGTGGGATACGGACTGTTGCTATGGCTTCCACATGGGCTACAGATGATAAATCTGGTTGTTAAAGCATGTTGACAGACAATGAGGTTTGGGACCAATCAATGAAGAGACTCGCACGCAGTGAGTTGATCATCGTTTTTTTTTGTGTTGATTTAAACTTGTTTGTTGATTTTGATTCTCTCTCTCTACTCTGTTGTAGCTTTGTCATCTGAATTTTTTTACCTTGTCAAAATTAGCTGTTTTCAATCATGAACACTGCGTGGAATACTATGTCCCACAATGCAATGCACTCAAGTTGACCTTCAATTTCAGTGTGATGCATTAAACTGTATCTGCAGTAATTAATATGGCAATACAAAATTTCGATAAAAATGGAAAATAACAATTTCCAATATGATAAATGGATGTCACTTAGTTAACCTGCAATGTAATGTGGTCATGTGATAATGTAGCATACTACTGCTTGAATCCTATATTGTGGAATAATGCCTACTTTTTAAATTATTATTATTTTTTTAAAGAGTAGGCGGTACATAGTGTAATATACAGTGTTCAGTAAGCAGTATTTATTATTCCATTCTGAACACAGCCGATGTCTTAGGCTGCCATGGAAATCTGTTGAAGGAAATTAAATGGACATGGTGACTCGCTGTTGGGGTTGGTGTATTATGGGATGTCCTAAGTGTGTTTCTCTCTCAAGCGTAACCTTGAGTAGAACAAAAGACTGTCGAATCGAGCCTTGTTTTTTTTTCTCTCTCCCATTCTCTCCATTTATTTCCTCGTCGGGGTTTCTGTCCTACTCTGACCTCTCCTGTCTGTTTCATTTGTAAACAGAGAACAGAATGAAGCCATGTGGTCACCTGTACACTAAAACACATTTGTCTGTTACTGCTTGAATAAGCAGACCATTATACACTTCACAATGTCTGAATATCATATTTGTTGCGGTTAATGGCTTCAGTAATACTTTGTCATTCACCAAACCGCAGTGTTTCTGGCAGTGGCGCTGTGCCACTACTAAATCCACAGCAAAAGAAACTATATTTACTCCATTTATGAGTTTGCGCTTTGAATTGAATGCAGTGAGATAAAGGCTGGGTGCCGCAAAACAGTTCAAAGACAATAAATTGACAGCATGTCTTTCAATTACAACTCCCCCTGCTGCAATGAGAAAATTCTGTAGGAAACACTGCCAAAGCGATTAACTTAATTGAATCAAGTGATCATATCTGACTGTGCAAATATAGGCCTACAGTATTTATTATGGTTTATTCCAATAACTTCAAGGTGAGTCTCACCTCAATATCTGGTCGTGCCAGTAGCAGAGAGATGTTGGTGCTGTCCTCTCTGGTCAGGATGGCCACAGCTTCCTCTCTGTTCTGCACATCCATCCCATTAATCTGAACACAAATACACATTAACATCATTTCACATCACATATAAAGGTTATATAGCTGTAAGAAGTCTAGCATTTTTTAATAAGAGTTCATAAAATTGTTTTAATTAGTTTTAAAGACAATGATAAACATCTTAAGGAGTTTGGATGGGGTATTTTTTTACGCAGAGAATTAAAATAAATCCACCCCTCCCCCCAAATCAACATCTGCTAGCTCACTATTAAAAAGAATGCTGTTCAAACCACTTACCTTAAACTCAACTTAATTTGAATGGTTGTTTATCACTGTTGTTTAATTACCTGCAATATTCTGTCTCCCTCACGGATTCGGCCATCTTTAGCAGCAATGCTATTAGGGTTGACCTGCAACGATAAGACAAGACACAGAAGATTGACTTCTCAGACATCTTTAAGGAATATTCCAGGTAAATACAAGCTGCTTGTTACCAGATAATTAAAACTACGCAACTTTTGGCCGGTTGAATCATAAAATTACAAGTTACTTGCGGAGGAGCACTGTTTTGGTAAACGCGTGTGGTGAGTCGCGTTTATGCTGTGCGGAATCCGCGGATGAATCTGATGGATTGGTGTACGAATGTCTGTAACTAATGTCACTAGCTGGGTTTCCATCCAAAGTTGTGAATTTAACTTATGTGCAAAATTGGAATATCGCATAAAACATTTGCGAATAAAGCATGTCATTTCCATCCAATGAGTCAAAGAGAACAAAATCGCCACTTCCTGGTAATCTGGCAGTAAATATCACCAAGAAAACTAGGAGAAGCCACTGAATATAATAATAAATTACTTGTGCCTCAGAACAAGCAGACGAAGCACAATAAATGCGGTCATTGCTTTCACAGGTGGATGCTACTGTTTGGGAACGCAGTCCGAAAGCTCTCGGATTTCATCAACAAATACCTTAATTTGTGTTCCGAAGATGAACGAAGGTCTTACGGGTTTGGAACGACGAGTAATTAATGACAGAACTTTCATTTTTGGGTGAACTGTCCCTTTAAGATGACGCCAACACTCACGAAGACTTCATATACCTATAGACCAATTTGTAGTAGACGTCAGTTACGTCAAATGCAGCTGCGCGCGCATTGTGGTGGCAGAAAAACACTGGGAACAAGTGGAGGGAAACGGGTAAAATCCATAGAATAATAGAAAAAAATGTATTGTTGTGCTTTTGGATGTCAGAATCGGAATGCAAATAATGTTTTATAGAATACTGTCGTCAAAGACGCCGTTTGAAGCAAACGGACAGACTATGGATGAAACCTGCTATGATTACCCTACTTTTAAAGCATAAATTAGATTTAAACAATAGGCCTACATAATATTCACATATGCAGTTCATAGTGGACATATTGCATTAGCCTGCAGTTACAGCATGAAATAGACTACTATTTAAACCTATAACATTTACCTATTTTATCTCACAATTCTGACTTTTTTTTCTCGCAAATGCAAGTTTATATCTCCTAGTTTGGACTTTATAACTCAATTTAACTCAACAATTGCAATTTTGTCAATTCTGAGAGGGGAAAAAAGCCAGAAGTGTGGGATTATAAACTCATGATTCTGAGCCGAGGGGAAAAGCGAGAACGACGAGTTGATTTTTCTTATCAGAATTGTGAAATATAATCTCGGAATTGCGAGAAAAAAAGTCAGAATTTTGAAATACAAACTCAAAATGACCTTTTTTATTATTTTATTCCATGGCTTCCATAGACTGCTACTTTAAAACTGTCATTTTCTGCCACCAGATGGACTCCACCCACAAAAAAACTTGTTTTTTTCAAATTGGTCTATATTATATAGTAAACCTATATTATTTGTAAACAACACTCAAAGGAAAAGATGAGGTTTGACAAAATGACAAAAAGACACTTTTTGCATCATCAAAATGACAGAATGCTGTGTTTTGCGTCATGCGGCAGAGTTTTGCTGACAAATAAACTGGGCATCTCTGAGAAAAAATAAACATTGTTCTTTTACATGTATCACCAACATTGTAACAATACAAAGTGGCTTAAAAATGGTTGAACTTGCCCTTTAATAATGTTGAAGGGCAGTGTTTAACTAAACACATGACTTGTATTATCTTTGAGCTACTGTCATATGGACGTTACTTATGCCGAGTTCACACTGCATGATTTTAGCCCGATTTTTCACTCGCCGACAGGTTTTGCGAAATCGCCGACAAATGCCCGAAATCGGAGGCAAATCGGTGCTCGTTCTGAGTGACAATCACGCAGTGGGAATTATCAAAGACGCGATCTGAGGGAATCGCCGACACGTCGCCGACGCTGTGAAATATTTGGCATGCTAAATATCTGGAGCTGTGCGATTCACAATCACGCTGTGTGAAATGAGTTCTGACTGAAAACTACATCGGCGATGACCTACAGCCAATCAGAGACCAAGATACAGGGCAGAGGGAAGTTCGGGAGGAGTTCTATGAATGTAGTTTGCGGACCAGTGTTGCCAAATCCGCGATTGCCGCCGGTTGTTTTTCATGTCAGTAGGTTGAAGCGACCCCAATAATGTGATATTTAGGCCCTGGAATGTGAATTGTACCAGGAGGTCCCAGCCAAAAAAATGTGTATTTTTTACACATTTAAATAAGCATGTGTCCTATTTTGTGTCCAGAACTCTTGAAACATTGGTGTCTCATATTTTAGAGCAGTCAATGCAATTTGGGAAAGAAAGAAATCAAATCTGTGTGTGTGTGAAAATATATGTAACCCCCTTTGTAATCTTTTACATTTTCATAAGTAACTGTAATTTAATTACACATTTTTTCTCAGTAACTAACTGATTACAGTTACACTTATTTTGTAATTTAATTACGGAATTCTGTTACATGTAACCAGTTACTGTGTATACTGAAACGAAGGCAACCTGGGAACTTAATGCTTTTGATGGGCAAGTGCTTCCAGTCAAAACACTCTGAAAAATGTCTATTTTTAACATTTATTCTGAAACTATAAAATATCCATGTAAAATTGTACTGTAAATGCATTACTGCGCATACGTTTTTTATTCTTTTTCGGAATAGTTTAAAATGTATCTGATCGACAGCATCTGTGACATGTTTAACCTATATTACTTCTTTACAATACAGCTTATGCTTTAAGTGGGTGATTTCTGCAATATAAACACGTTGAGTTAAAGGTGACGAGTAATTTACAAAAACAATGACAGTCAAGCCACTGAGTCAGCTGTGTCAGGCTGGTCAGGACGCTCAAACAGCAATGTTTTGATAGTGGATTTAATATGGCATTTTATTTAAATGGATGCTTTATCTAACACTGCAACATAACTGCATAGGTTCACAGTCCTCCCTCAGCCTTCATTCATAATTCATCGGTCAGCAGATTCCCATTATTCCCCATTTCTCACCTCTCCCACATAGATACCCAGATCCTCTTCATCATCAGTGCGATAACACACCATTAGACCCAGTTTATCTTGCTGACAAGATTTATACAGTTCCACCTCCTGAAGGAAAACAGATAGTGAGAGAATTAAACAAACAGAGATAAGACGCTTCTCCAGCAGTATTTCAGGCTAAAGCAAACGTATATTCGAGGATGTTTAAAGAGACAGTGTTGACCTCATACTCCAGGTCATCTTGTCTGTCCACCTCATGTTGACTGATGTCAAAGTAGTCCGTTGGGTCGTAGTACACATGGTCAATAGCAGGGCTGAGGAGAGAAACAATATCAAAGAGCAAAATATATAATTAACCACTAGAGTGAAATGCAGAAATGAAAAGCAGTGTTAGTGTTTGTAAGTGTAACGTGTTATTTGAGGCAAAACATACAATTGTTAATTGTAGCATTTTCACCATAATTTTTATTTTTATTTTTTCAAATAGTTAATTATCTATTTTTGCAATGCATTTAAACTTTGACACGATAATGACAATCGATGCAATTCTCGTGTAAATATATTTGTGTGTTTTTGCTGTAAAGGAGAGTGGGGTAAGATACTTTTTTACTCCTGTCAAAAAAAAGTCTAGTAAAGTAGCTCCATACAATCTTTAGACAAATAATTGTTTAGGTTTTATACATTTGCGATTCACTAACAAGTATAATAAAAATATATTTATATACATAAATATGTAAAAATGTTTCAAATATATGGTCACTTGACAAAAAAAAAAATGTGCAAGAAATGTTCTTTCCAGTGTAAGAACAGCCCTGACTAAAAAGTATCTGACGTAAAAGAAGCATTTTCTGTAAAAGGTACACTAACATTCAAAAGTTTGGATTTTTTTTTTTTTTAAAGAAATTAATGGTTTTGTTCAGCAAAGATGCATTAAATGGATCAAAAGTGACAGTAAAGACATTTATAATGTTGTAAAAGGTTTCTATTTTAAATAAATCCTGAAAAAATTACGGCTTACACAAATATATGAAGCAGCACAACTGTTTTTAACACTGATCTTAATCAGAAATGTTTCTTCAGCAGTAAATCAGCATCTTAGAATGATTTCTGAAGGATCATGTGGCACTGAAGACTGGAGTAATCACAGGAATAAATTGCATTTTACAATATTTTCAAATAGAAAACAGTTATTTAAAATTGCAATAATATTTCACAATATTATGACTGTTTTTATTGTATTTTCGATCAAACAAATGCTTGATGAGCATAAGATAATTCTTTAAAAAAGTTCAAATCTTGCTGACTGTAATTAGTTATTGTTATTATATGTATAGTGTCCATATATCATATGTACAAGTACTGTTCCCTAACAGTGACAACTGATATCTGTTCTCAAAGCCACACTTACAGCTGGCTGAAGAGGTAGGGCTCTGGCATGGGCGGCAGTGGAGGGGAAGGAGGTGACGCTGGTCTGTTGTGATGGACGGGTCTGCCTAATGTCACCATGTGCTGGAAGCTAATATCTGTCTGCGTCCCGCTGTCAACACAGTCAGTCATTACCGTCGTCCCTCCAGCAGCTCCAGGCACAGCTGCTTTCCTCCTCGGACCCCACCTCATGTTCCTCCGGCAGCGCAGCGCATGCAGGCTCTGCTCCTGAGAGAGCCGCGACAGGCCTCTACTGTTCACCTGGACAAATGCATACATGGTCAGGAGATTACCGCTTTGAATTCTACAATGTTAGAGGCTAAAAAGACCAAAAAAGAGGTCTTGCTATCTGTTTTTCCTTGATATTTTGAAATGAAAGCACTTGAAAGCATACTTTTACATAGCTCAATCCAAAAACATTTTTTTTTAAAGCTGAAAAAACATGGTTATCAAATTACTGCCCACATTTACACATTAGCAACAAGTTCAGCAGCATGATTAGTTGATTTTTATAGGTTATGTACATACAGAAGACAACAAAAAGAGCCTGTTGAAAGGTCAAAGAGAGAATCTGAAAAATGAATGAATGAATTCTAATTAATAAATTGTGGTTGTGACCAGTTATTTTTTATATACTTTTATACATTTTAGCCAAAATTCAGCTTTAAAATCACAGTAATAAATTACATGTTACAATATACTTAAATAGGAAACAGTTATTTAAAATGAGTAATATTTTAATTAGCTTTTATTTTTTATATTGTTATATATATATATATATATTCCATTTTCCTTTTGTTTCATTTTTAGCAACTTCAGTTTTTTAAGTTTAAGTTTTTAATTTAATATGTATTATTTTTCTTAATTTTAGCTTTATTTCAATTATCGAAAACAATTTTAATAGATTTAGTTTTAGTTAACAACAACACTGGTTGTGACTGTTTTTGGAAAAAAAAAACTGATTAATTACACACACAAAAACATTTTTAAAAACAGTATATGTGTTATTCCTTTAACAGATCATTTTTAAGAATGTACAAACCATAAAAATCTAACACAGGAAGTGAGAATGATATCTTGCATTAATGTTCAAGAAGATCATTGAAGAAAGAAGTCTTCACAATGTGAGGGAACAAATTCAACATAAAAATGCATAGACTGAATGTTTGTTAGTATGAGAGACAATTGTTTGACTAAGAGTGAACAGCTGTTGGAAGTTCATCGATGTACATAACAAAACAAATTTGATAAACACACCGATGTACCAGAAGTGGTTAGTTAAAAGGATAGTTCACCCAAAAGTGAAAATTCTGGTATAATTTACTCATTCTCATATTCCAAAGCCCATGGCTTTCATTCTTCTGTGGAATGCAAAAGAAGATATTTTGAAGAATGTTTGAACTGTTCATGCATTGGAAGTCAGTAATGTGCAAAGCAACATTGGACCTCACTGACTTTGTCATTATATGGACCAAAAAATAAAAATGTCATTTGTGTTTCACAGAAGAAAGTAAGTCATTAGGGTTTGAAAAAATGAGGATGAATAAATGATGACAGATTTTATTTATTTATTTCTTTATTTGTTTTTGTTTATTTATTTATTTATTTATTTATTTATTTTATTTATTTATTTTATTTATTTATGTATTTGGTTGTTTGTTTGTGTATTTATTTATTTATTTGTTTGTTTGTTTTTGGGCGAGCTTCCCCTTTAACATGAGCACTGATAACAACATAACATCAAAACATATCTACAACAGTCACTAGTCGCAAGGAACACCCAACATTTACGCAACACTCATAGTCTAGACATAATATAGACATAAAAAACAAAACTTTTATTCCAACCTCCCCATTAAAAGAGCACAGCATGCCGTTTATCTGCCCCCTCTGTGGGAGAAAGAGAAGGAAGAATAAGATGGGGAGAAAAAAGCATATCCAAGTAGAAAGTCCAGTTCATTTAGTGCTGAGGAGACAGTCGAGAAACTGCGATAAGGGAAACTACAAACAACTCAGCAGAATAAAGTCTCATGGTGATCAATGACCACAATACTCAATATCTGCAAAGAAAAGGGTTTTAAAAGCGTGTGTTTAAGGGTTTAATATATAGGATATAGTATGTAGATATGAAACTCGTGAAGATTTCATTAACACATCGGTCATGTCATTGGGTTTAGCGAATTTCATGCAAGTCCAGTTCTTGTCTATCTTTGTGATGAAGAAGTGAGTTCAATTGTACTGAATGTGCATTTGTAGTGTACTTCAAATCTTGAAAGTATTTATTTTTAAACCTGTACTTGCAGATAATGTAATATTTAATGAATATAAAGCCACTTAAGTTGAACTTAAATAGCGTTCACTTACATGACTATAACACACTTTTAAAAAGTTCACTTTGTAATAATGGTAAATTAAAAGTTTCACTTTAAAGTACATTTTAAATCATTATGTTTTCTAATGTAATTTTAATTAAGTGCACTTGTATTGCTGCGTTGACTAACATACTAAAGAACATGTAAATGCGTAAATACAAATAAATTTAAATACATGGCATAAAAGTTTCAATAGAGATGATATTAAGGCATATTTAGTTTACCATAAATTTTTGTCAGTACATTCAGCAGTACACTAACTATAGTTCAAAGATGTACTTAAGTCCAGCTTAAGTGGGTCAAAAGTACTCTGCATTGCAGTTAATATAAATTTTAAATATAATACATTTACGTTTAAGTGCAGTTAACATGCAATTAAGTGTCCAAATTAAGTTTTCAATTAAGTATATTCTTTTAAAGTAAGTTCTTTCATTATTTTGTAATATGTACTCTTTTTAAGAGTACATGGATGAGAAAAGTCTGAAACACCAAAATGTTTGCCAGTCTTTAATTTTCGGTTGTGAGATTGTGAAGTGATTACAGAGAGCCTATCACAGATCATCTTTGACCTCTGACCTCTGTGCCTCTCAGACCTTTCCCAGAGGCTTATGAAGCCCTAACGTTTGTATGAAAGTGATCCCCTCGAAGTTATTCCTCTGTGTTTGTGTGGAGGTATGGATGAGACCGGTAATCCCTGCAGCGAGAGCGATTGGTAATTAGGGATTAGTGT